AAAGTTCAGAACATGTATGTTTCAGTATAATATAAACTAAATCTGTAAAAAGTATTGAAACAAAGTCTTCAAAATTCAAGATTATACGAAATCTATAAATTAATGTTTTATTTTTTTTAATAAATAATCGTATTTTGTCATTCTTTATCTTTGTGCTGGATTATTGTTATCCTCATGCACTAAATTACTGGTTTGTGTTTTATACTATCTTAAATAGCTAGTTTTTCTTCATCTGAATTATTCTTTGCTATGAGCAAGTTCAGGATTTCTGTCTATTTTGTATCATAACAATTGTATACCAATATGACAACTGGAGTAGATCAGTTAGTATATATAACAGCATAAGCTCTAAAAGTTACTTACTGAACTGGATTAAGCAACATTCATATAAAAAAAAGACTATTCTATGAATCAAATTCTATGCTCCTTCTTACATTCTGGGTGTATCAAGAGCCACAGAGTAGATTAGGTGGTATGAAACATAGCACAGGATTCAACTGTTAGTACTGAAACATTGGGAACATGTTCCTTGTTTGTACACTGTATCTTAAGCAGTTGATAACAGTCATAACTACCAACTCTGTTTGTACACTGTATCTTAAGCAGTTGATAACACAGTCATAACTCTATCAACTCTGTTTGTACACTGTATCTTAAGCAGTTGATAACAGTCATAACTACCAACTCTGTTTGTACACTGTATCTTAAGCAGTTGATAACACAGTCATAACTCTATCAACTCTGTTTGTAAACTGTATCTTAAGCAGTTGATAACACAGTCATAACTCTATCAACTCTGTTTGTAAACTGTATCTTAAGCAGTTGATAACACAGTCGTTACTCTTATAACTCTGTTTGTAAACTGTGTCTTAAGCAGTTGATAACACAGTCATTACTCTGTCAACTCTGTTTGTACACTGTATCTTAAGCAGTTGATAACAGTCATAACTATCAACTCTGTTTGTACACTGTATCTTTAACAGTTAATAACACAGTCATTACTCTATCAATTCTGATAACAGATTATATTACCATGTGAACTGTGTTTGGATTCTGTCTCTGAAACACTTGATAACACAGTACACAAACATATGAATGCATGAAATACAACACATTTATTTCAATGTAATTATATCCATTTGCTCAGGTCTTGAGATGTTAAACCTTTTTCTTTTCAGCTTACAGATTAAGAAACTTACCCAAGTTGTTATTTTTGTGAAACCAAATTTTCCTTGGAATAGACGAAGAAATTGTGATACATACGCACTTTCCCACAGTCCCCGTATGGCTTCATTAGGATTTTCATCTAAATACAAAAATCAAATATATAATTCATTGCAGCTATACTTTATAGACATAAATAAAAATAAGTCAAGAAACATCAGCTGATGAGATATCCCATCCAATACAATGGAGAAATACTTTATTACATTTCCAATATCAGTTTGTATAGACATGTTATTCTCAAAGTTCTTTATATGGTTGTCTATCTACAAACACTCAATACACACTAGTCAGAAATTGTGTGTAAGACATGTTTCTATCTAAGCCTAAATAAGCAGTTAGCGACAACTGATAAAAGTCATTATCTAACTTGACGGAAATACACATTCTAATATTACTTGAATATATTTGCTTCAACAGTTGTCCTATACAATTTTTCAATAAAATATAAAAGAACTGGAAATCTGATGAAACTTTGTAGAATGGACGGCAAACTGCCTGTTGTAGAAACACGAGTGTAGAGGGTGACGTTTCCAAAGTCTTCAGCCTTTCGTCTTCGGGCAGAAGACTTTCAAAACGTCATCCTCTACGCTCGTGTTTCTACAACAGGCAGTTTGCCGTCCATCCTACAAAGTTTCATCATGAATACTCTGCCTAAACAATCTATCAAAGAATTAGGAATATATTTGATTTATTAGAGATAGAAACTTAAAACAATATAAAAATATGTTTTAATAATCTATTTCATGTATAAAATTACATTACGTTACAACATTAGAACAGCCCACCAATTAACATCTGCTACGTCTCATCCTTTGTGTGATGTTTCATTATTTGAGCTATTCAGATTCAGCTGTAGAAAAAAAAAAAGACCTTAAACATCTGTCAAAGTGTCCAGTTGGAGAAACCTTGCAATGTGGTGGCAGGTGACTTTTCAAATCACAAAGTGTGCTGAAAGTTTTTCTATCTTATCACAACAGAAAATACTTGTTTTACACAGACCATCTGCTTAAACACTAGTGTTCTAAATCCATGAATCATTCCATGACTTTGTTAGTGTAATGTACATGTATGGAACTTTGTATAAAACAAATAAACTAGTTGTCTTCTATAACGATCTCAGAACTTGCAAGATTAGTTTGTTATTTTATGGACTAACCCATTTAATTTACTTGATAACCTTAAAAAGAATCACACTTATTGTATCTCGTACCATTAAAAAATTACATTTATTGTATCTCGTACCATTAAAAAATTACATTTATTGTATCTCGTACCATTAAAAAATTACATTTATTGTATCTCGTACCATTAAAAAATTACATTTATTGTATCTCGTACCATTAAAAAATTACATTTATTGTATCTCGTACCATTAAAAAATTACATTTATTATATCTCGTACCATTAAAAAATTACATTTATTATATCTCGTACCATTAAAAAATTACATTTATTGTATCTCGTACTATTAAAAAATTACATTTATTGTATCTTGTACTATTGCTTTACAAAAACTAGCTATATAATCAACTTCATAATATGCAAATATTACAGGAAATGTACACTTAGTGCTTTTGAAGCAACAAAAACAATAGAATATGAGAGTTGTAATTTTTATTACTAAAAATTATGTTTGATAAATAACACAACTTTTGATATCACTATCTTCTAACTTATATTTTTTCGTTCTTTAAGTTTATCTTTCTTACACTGTTCCCTTCACCTTTTTTTTATATAAAATTAACCCCGTGTTTCATTTCTATGTAACATAAAAGCTTCTGAATTATCTTAATTTATAATTCTGTATACAGTGAAGTTATGAATGGCATTTAATTTTAGAAATGAAATAACTAAACTAATACAGAACCCAAAACTCAACTTTAACAATACCGTAACATCCTTTTGTACCAATAATTACATATTTGAATTGAAATTATAATTTACAAAAATGTTAAAACACTGTTCACCTTTACAGAATTCATTTCAAGTTAGCAGTGACATCTACCTAGCAAACATTCTGTTAAGCCATTGGTCTTCCAATCCAGTTTGACAGGTCTACTGTAAGTTCTTTTGTTCATTAGATTTAGTACAAATCTGGCTTGTCAAACTGCATACTGTACATTCTACATGTAACTTCTTTGTGCAGTGAATAATTAATAACAGTTTCATCACTGAAATTTTCTAAGCTGTAGCTTAATTCAGCTTAGATGTTGTAACTCATGTATACACACACACACATACCAACACACTAAACTACATTAGCTACTAACCAATTCATTGATACCTTTTAAATAACAGTATAAGGCTATTAATTCCTTTGAAGTTATTTTTACTACACCTCACATGATATCATATGCCAACATGTGATGAAATGTTACATATGCATGTAAACATACTTTAAAAAAAAACAGGATTAATCCATGAATTTATTTAGAATATTCACTTCTTATTTACAACTGCTAACATTTTACATATGCACCAAACTATACTTGTTCACTTAGGTTACATTTTAAGAAGTTAATTGTAAAAACATGAAATTCTTATCATGCCTTGATCAACTGACTTTAGAAGTTACTACTAATAAACAAATGTTACTACACCATTTTTTGGGATACCTATAACTCTCCTCTTGTCCACTATATCATATGTTATTCAGAGTTCAAATAGCAACAATATGGGAAGTTTTCCTTTTTAAATTTTAAAACCCCCAGCTTTAAACTACATGGACTAACAATTTCCTTATGATACATTTCACTGATGATAATGCTGTGTGACGAAAACGTATTAATTTACATAGAACTATATTAATTAATGGTAATCACAAAAAAGACACCAATACCTAGTTCACTGGATGTACACCACAATATATTAATGTCCACAATTTACATTACAGATTTACGTACCACTGTATCATCAGCGTATGACTAAAACTCAGTAAAACTAAAAGTGAAACGCAAAAGTACCTTAAAATGTGTCTCAAAACTCATTTTCATATTTATACTACAAACTATGGAATTGATAAACCATACACAACGATATTCACCTTGTAATTTAAATTTTCTTGGCATTTTCTAAGATATTCGCCAACAGATGTCAAACATTTTTGATGGAATTCTATTCTCATTTTCTATGCTCAATCGGTCATGTTGCACTCGTATGACCTATTGCAAGCTCCTCAAAGAGGACAAGTTTCTTGAAGTGATTAATTTTTTTGCAATGGCGGTGAGATCATAAGATGTTTTTGAATATTCTAGACATTATGCAGCTGTATATCAAACTTGCCCAATTATAGTTCACTTTGTCATAAGCCTGAGAAACAGTAATACTTAACTGAATAGCTAAGATAATCTCTCCACAGTCAAGTAGCACTGAAAGTAGTGAAACGTAGAAAAAAGTTCATCATCAATGCAGTGAAACATTTAAACCTAACACACTACGAATCGCGTATAAGAAGTCCATATTCTGTGGTGCATATATCTCACTCAAAAAGCACAGCAAGCGCCCTCTAATGCCTGAAAATGAAAGAGCCAATAAACCAAAGTTAAAACTGAACGGAAACGGAAATTATTGTAAATACAGTTTCTGAGACTTCTCCCTAATTTACAGATTATTTCAGTAATTTTAATTTTAGGACTTTTTTAAACTACGATTAAACTTTTATATTTATTTTCTCCAATAAACACATACTTAGAACAATAGTTTTATTCAAATTACTGAATGCACTTTTGCAAAAATAAATGTCAGAAGAACGTAAACATCTTACAACAGACACCTCCGATTAAATGCGTCATGAAGTTGCCAGCTGATACAAGTAGAACAAAGCAACAATAGTGTGGTTTTGAAGTGCAAATGTATATTTAAAATTTTCATAGTGCGTATATTTTTGACAAAGTATTCTCTGAAGGTCATGTGAAATTCTTTATTAATATTACGTAAACGTTTAAAGAAATGTCCCAGCAACGATCATTTAAAGAAAGAAGGAGCTTTGGTATAGTAGTTTTGTGAAAACAATGATATTTTATGGATATGGTTTATTTTATATTTAGGGTAGGCCTAACAATAACAATGGTTGTAATTTGGCGTTTAACTTTAAGCTAGATGTAGAATAGTAGGGGATAGAATGTAGTACCGTTAAGTAAAATCAAAACAAGGTATTACTATGTATTATCCTACTTGTTTTGTCGAAGACTTGGACTGATTTTTAATGGCAGTGACAAGCACTGACCAGGTAATTATAATTTATAGTTTGGATTATTGGCCATTTACTGAATTAGTATTATTTCTATGGCATTAAAAGGTTTGGAGAGACTGATCAAAGATGCTTTGTAAGGCTTAACAAAGTTTGTACTTTTGTTGGATAACCAGAATATGGTTTTACACGGGGAAAATCTTGTCTTTCAAACCTTTTGATCTTCTTCAGAGATGTCACTTTTGACGTATTGTACAAAGAGATCTGTATAAAGAAACAATAACCTCCTGTGTCTTGTATTCATTCTTCCTGTACATACAATTCAAAATCCTTCTGGCTTTCCCACTGGGAACCACACTGCCAAAAACACAAAGATATCTTTTTCTTCCATAACACACTGAATTATACTTGAATATATATCGGCAACAGGAGAAGATATATCGGCAACGCTCCTGACCCTGAGCATTGTATGGGAAGTATTGGAATTGACCTCAACCATGTAGACATTAATCCCTTGGTACTGAGTAGAAAGACTGAGAGACTGAAAGTAGATAAAGCAGCAAAACCAAAGTTCACACAGGATATTAAAGGATGTCAAAGGTCGGATATACGAATCCCTCTAATTTTTGGTGAGTCAATAGGCAGTGGGCTGGCACACATGATGATTGAACAGTTGATACTGTTACTCCTATTTTTTAAAGGGCATAATAAGAGCTGCCTTGGAAATTACAGGCCAATCACTATTACTCCTTCATTGGGAAAAATTCTAGAGAGTCTAATAAAATCTTTGTAAATCATGTAGTGAAATATGTGTTAATTCTTTTGAGGTTATTTGTTATCTAGATGATGGAAAAGGTGTGGCCTGGTGTATTTAACTTCTTTCAAGGTGTCACCCAGAAGATTTCTAAGAAGTTTGGAGAGACCAGTTTATAGGATTGTAAGGTGATTGGATAAGGAAAAACGAAAGGTTGTTATTAATGGAATCTGATCAGATTTGCTGATGGCAGAAAGTTTTCAACACTAATAACTGTATTGAGGATGTTGAGGTCCTATAGAATTGATTTAGATGAATTGGTAAATTGGACCAGTATTTGCAAATAATCTGTAATAACAGTAACTGCCAGGTAGCACATAGTACTATAATTTGGATCATATGTTTAAAAGAGCTGAGAAAACACTTTCGTTAGCATACCTGAAGAAAATAACTTGGCATAATGATGGATAAGTCATTCAAGCCATGGAAGTAAAAATCTGGTGCTATTGGTAAAGCTAACAGAATTTTAAGGTTTATTTATAGACATGCTAATCATAAATTTGAAAGAAGTAATAGGATTATTTTTAATAAAAGTGTTATTTTATAGGGTTAGTGTAGAATCTAAACATTTCTCTTGAGAAAAGAAGGGTAGGAGGTGATCTTTTTTGAAAATTTTAAAGGCTATCCTACAGATTGATAGGATGAAGGCCTCTAAGTTCTTTGTATTCTATTTTGAAGATCAGAGCATGGATGGACAAGAGCTTATGATTTGGAAAAGAAAAGCATATGGAATGAATTGTCATTGGTAGTAGGGGAGGCCAGCATTTTACAGGGGTTTAAGAAGGGAGTTCATAAAATTTTAAAGGGACAAAACGGAGCTTACTACTCCATCAAGGATGTCCCTTCCAGCTCCTAACTATAACCACCCCTTAACACTCATGTATTCATCCAAACTTTTCTTAAACTCGGTTGAATTTTCTGCTTCCACTACCCTTGAAGGCAGCTCATTCCAAAAGCCAACCACCCTGTGGGGTTCCAGGTCAGAACCTGTTATCCCTCTTACCAGATCTCCACTTTTTCAGATTCATTTAACTCTTACTACTGTATTGTGATAATTCTGTTAATTATTTTTGGGAGGTACTCCTTTTTTGGCCTTACTAGTTTGCTGAACTCCCTGATACTTTCGAAGCCCGGTTTTATTCGGCATGTTTGCAGTTTTCTTTATTATCATTGGCTGCTTGCCTCTCTTCTACTCCAATGGGCAATCCTGGAGGATCAATCATTTGTCTTTTCGTGGCCCCACCTTCAAACATCTCATCCTATTGGTGTTTACAGAATCGGTTCCATTTATATTCTCGGATCTTTGGAAGGTTGGGATGGCGCTAGTTGCATCGGTGTCTACCCACTTAGAAGGTCGATTTCGTTCATCCAGGATTCTATTCTTGTCTTTTTTTGGTGACCAAGAACACTAGAGATTGGCATCTTATCATCAATCTGTCTGGACTCAATGTCTTTTTACAGCCTCCTTGTTTCACCATGGAATCTTTTCTTCAACTTCAATGGTACTTCACACCAGATCTTTGGATGACCAAATTTGATGCTACAGATGTTTACCTTTGCATCCCTATAGCAGAGTCTTCTTTTTGATTTCTACATTTTTTGCAAGAGGGCCAGATGTAGCAGTCCCAAGCTCTTCTGTTTGGACTTGCTTCAGCATCATATGTTTTCTGCCGAGTAGTACAGGCCTTTGAGCAACATCTTCATTTTCTGGCTCTGTGCACACATCGCTATTTGGAAGATTGACTTCTTTTTGGCACCAACCTGTCACATTGCCACACTACATCCACAGATTCTCCTTTCCGAAGCCAGAAGGGCAGACTTCATATCAGATTGGAAAAATCCATTCTCTCACCAACTCCATACATGATCCATCTTGGGGTGTTTTTCAATGCACTTTGAGTCAAGCTTGACCTTCTCCCCTCAGACATCATGATAGGGAAGGGATTGTCAGGCATTTGCTTATGTCACCTTCTCCAACTGCATGGATGGTTCTGTCTGTTTTGGGGATTTGTGCTTCCCTAAAATCCCTCATACTATTTGATCATGCCCATATGAGTGGTCATTTCATGGCTCATGCATACCAATCCTTTGGATCACACAGTCTCTTTGCTTGAACAATTTGCAAATCTCAAGTGGTGGCTAGACAGGAACTTCACAAATAGGTGTGGAATTCCATCTCTTCATGGATGGGGTGCCTTTCTTCTGGGGTAAGCATTCCAGGGTATTTGGACCGACTATGAATCTACCCTGCATATCAACATTCTTAAACTTCTTGCAGTACATCTAGCGATGATTCCAGGTCTTCCATTCTTGTATGACAAAATGGTCATGAGTCATTCTGATTACTCCACATTGGTGTCATATCTTTCTCATCAGGGAAGTTCTCATCCTTGAGGTCTTGGTTTTGGGGCTTTGGATCTTCTTTTTCAGCTCATTCCAATGACATCCATCTTTTGGCCTGTCATATGCCAGGGGTTATGATTTTGATAGCAGATCACCTTTCTCAATCCCATCAGGTGATCTTTCAATGGATTTGTTCTCAGTTCAGCTCTCCATTGATAGACACCTTTGCAACCCATTGGAATGCTAGCCTACAATTCCACATCCACAAGCTCTGGTGATGGATGCTTTCAGTGAAGACTGGACAGGATTCCATTTGTATGCCTTTCCTCCTATTTATCTCTTACCCAAACTCTTGTCTATGATTCATTTCACCCCATGTTGGGTTCTCTTGTCAGCACCTTTTTGGCCTGCTCAAACATGGTTTCCTCTTCTGCAGTTTCTCCAGGAATGTTTACCACTACCTTTAAAAATTCCAGATTCATTTATGTAGTTCTTTGCCCTACCGTAGTGGTTTAGAATCTAGAAATTCCATTTATTTGACTATATCCTCCATCAACCTATTTTGCCAATCTAGCGATGGAAAATGACAACATATTATCCTATCTCATTACCATTATGATCTGGCAGTTCCTTCCTCTGTGGGATTGTTGCCCCCCCATGGCTGTGTTGACTACCTCTGCTAGATTTTAACAAGGAAATGTGCAACGTTCTTACCTGATTAACAGTTTCTCTTTTTTTCTTCTAGGGTCCCTCTTTATTTCCTTTGGATCCCACTCAGCAGCAAGTGCTGTCCAGTCAGGTGTTCTCGTATTTTTTTTCAATTCCGTACTAGCAACCTTTATATAAGTTTATGGTTTCAACAGGCTCTGTTGAGATGAAGTGTTCCATAAGACCACCTAGGCACAGTTCTGGATGGTAGTATTATCTCACAATACAAATCCAATGTACCACTACTCGTGGACTATCATGAGTAAAGCTGAAGGGGATTTTGCCAGTCCCTGCTGATGTTAGAGCTGAATCATTCAAGGTTGGTTTGCTTTTAAAACTTAAGGAACATGGTTCACCTGTTGCACTGTCTCCAGAGGCCTGTTCCTCAGTACTACTCACCGCACACATGTACCCCTACTGCTACTAATGGAGCTAGGGAGTCCTTACCACACCCAGTTCCCAGTCGCTGTGGTGGTGGACAGAGGATTTTCCTTCAGAATGTTGAGTTTTCTCCACTCTTAGAGAAGAGGGTGAAGTTGGGAACCCTCCTCCCTGGGTCCCTGGAAGTTTTTTCCAGATGTTGGTAGGAGTAGGACCAACTTATGTGGGAGCCTACTCGTAAAACTGGTCTAGATTTGATGCTTAGCTATCCGGTTTGGGTGTGCTTGAACCCTCTTAGAACACTGTCAGGTGTTAGGTTGTTCGTGCAGGGGGTCCACTGTCTCCTTGTAAATCCGAATGCAATAAGGTCCCATCTCAGGCCCTTGGTGGAACAGTGTTTCACGTCCTCTCCATAATTCCATGAGTAAGTGGAATTCTCCTTGTCCTCTTGGTTGTGGAGTGAAAATGACTGTTCATAAATCCAGACTGGATGAGTTCTGGACTTTGGGTGGAGTATAGCATATATATGATCCTGTCAATCCAAGCCTGGGATGTTGTCTTTTGGACTTCTTAATGTTGATCAGAAGGATTGTCCACTTTGGTGTTGCTTTTTTCTTTCATAAATCTGGTTGTTCGAAATGCATGATCCCATGGCTGCTGGTGGGGATCCTATGTATATATATTTGTGGTCCAACTGTCCTTGCCACCAAGTGGGGATATGGGTACCATGACCCCTTAAATCCAGCCCCAAGTCATGGAACCTCGGCTGCATGGTTGGGGCTGGCCCATCATACTTATTTGTGTAATATTCCACCCTATGCAGACATCTTCTCAATGTGGGATTCTAGCTATAAGTGTCAGTGGAAGTATTTATGTTTTGGAAGTTATCATTTTCCTAACCTGAAAATGTATTTCCAAACATACTTACCTCCGCTGACACCCTGCCTCCCCAATAAGAGCCAGTTCTAGTGATCGGGATTGGGTAAGTCTAAACAAAGTTATTATGTTGTTGACATACAGTGCTTATATACAGTACCTGTATAGAGCGCGTGTGAGGGCCGGTGTAAAGTTTTGCAAATTAGATATTGCCGAGGGCAGTCGAGTGGGGTATATAAAGACTGGAGCAAGTGAACACGATGTTTAGATGGCAAAGATGAAGATCAAGAAAGAGCTATAAGTGTCAGCGGAGGTAAGTATGTTTGAAAATACATTTTCAGATTAGGAAAATGATAACTTTTAAGTTTATTCTCGAAAGTCGAGATGTCCATCTTCTAAAGTTTTCTGGGTTCTTTGCTGCCAACATAAGCTCTTCAAAGCCCTTCAAGCATTGGTGAAATGTAGAAGCACAGTTGGAAATGCTCCATTTTATATTAGTAAGAAATGCATTGTTTTATAAGAGTAATCAATGTGTATGTTTATAACACTGTCTGGAAAATAATTTGTGCAACTTGTAGCACATTAATTGAAAACTGCCATGTTGAGAACTCATCATTTCTCAAGTTTGCTGTTGTACTGCAACTATTTCAGTGAGTTTTGTAACAGTAGACGATTACCATAGTAGATTTCTCTACCCTTGTAAGTGGTGGTTTATTCTACTGATTTTCATACTTCGCTTTTTAAACACGTGTTTACACAAAACCACCTGGTTCAGTAAATAATGGTTGGGTAGAAAAAAAGCTAATGCAGCAGTAATCTGTTGAAAAAACATCCAACTAGATGCATATGCACGTATGTAGCTTAAACTTATTCTCCATAAATAGACATTAAAACTTAAGAAATAAGGTAATTAGAAATTGTTAATCTATAAATGGAAATAGGAATCGTCAAGAATTGTCAAAATGCAAAGATTATATTTTCAAGCCTGCAACTATGGGCTCTTAGAGAAACAAAAAGTAAATTAACTAGGTTGGGAAGAGTGTCTACATTATTTTCTCAAGCTATAAATCCCTGGAGATCTGTTACAAGGCACAAAGATTGAACATTTAATTAAATATTTCCTTTTGAAATCAATGAATTAAAACTTAAGTAAGATAACTTTAAATTATAAACAACATCTTAATTCCAAATATTTTAACATAAATTGAGAATAAAATTGTTTAATTACATTTTGAATGTAATCTGTAACAGTTCATGGCATGCACACTGACTGAGCTGAAATCGTAGGAGTTTTTTAATTCACTAATTTAGAATTAGTGTTTCCAACTATCCAAGTGTCATGAGAATAATTGATTAGTTGAACATAATTAATTACTGAACATGCTAATTAATTGATTAAAACATTTTACTAATTATCTAGCTCTACCTCTACATGACAGAACTCATTGACAACAAAAAATTATTTATATTAATTATTGCTTTAAATATCACTTAAATGTGGGTACATATTATTGTACGATAAAACTTGCACCTTGTCAAAATATCAAGGTTTTATGGACCCACTCGGTTTCCAGTTCATGAAAAGTTTGTAGGGTGGAATTACTGCAATAAACTGGGAAAACTTTTAAGAATAATGGAATGTATTTATGTGGAAAAACCTCGAAATATAGCACAGTGTTAATAAATGTTAAAATATGAGTGTGAATCTTTGCTTGGTTTGCTTATTTGGCATGGTGACATCTCACCAGTGAGTCAGGTACAAGTTGACTTGTTCTATTGGAAATTAAGTTGAAGTAATAAGTTCGTTAAATATTATTTGGTTTTGGTTTCATTTCTGGACAGAGCACAGTATTTGGGATATACCACAGTGTTAATAAATGTTAAAATATGAGTGTGAATCTTTGCTTGGTTTGCTTATTTGGCATGGTGACATCTCACCAGTCAACTTGTTCTATTGGAAATTAAGTTGAAGTAATAAGTTCGTTAAATATTATTTGGTTTTGGTTTCATTTCTGGACAGAGCACAGTATTTGGGAGAAAGGTACAAGGTTTTATCGCTTGTTATTAAATTGAAGTTTGGAAAAGCTTAAGTATACTTAAGGGACTATAAATGGGAAACTCGTTAGTACATTGTTAGATAATGAGTGTTCATTTAGTACTTATTTTAATAGTTTGTTTCTTATTCGTTTTTCTCAAGTAAGTGTTTTGTCAATAGCTTGGGTGTTTCTGTCAGTGCTAAAATATTTTGTACAGCTGCTACATGTTTTATAACATGTAATACATCATTAGTTATCTATTTATGGAGGAATTCACATCCTGTTAAAATCTACAAATTACATCCTTGAAAATGGCGATTTGGTCGTGGAATTTTTTTCCACTAGCCTGTGTAAACTATGTGTATGCTATGATAAATATAGCCATTAAACTTCTACTCTAACACCCTAGTGTAGCAGCTGTAACATAATTATTGAACTTTGACATTTACTAACTATGTTTACAGTTTATATTATAATTCAAAGTTCTAGAAGTAAGGGTTTGGTTAACATTTAATTCAGGACGTGTATCCACAAATTTTCTTCAGTGTGTAGCATTTCTTTACTATCCACCCTCCCCAAGATGATAAAGTGTTTTGAAGTGAGATTTGTGTCACAGTCCTGTAAAACAGTGGTTAAGGATGGATGACTGATTATATGCTGTGTTTTGTGCATTAAAGTTCTGGCTAGCACACAGCTGGTCTTGCCAAAACCCAGTTCTTTATGAAGTGTCATCAGTCATGTGAGGAAAAACTGACGGTGAAAGCAAAGAACTTGTATTGACAGTGATTGGATCATGTGAAGTATTAGAAATGTTGCCATCAGGTGTACTCAAGACATGAATATAAAAATAAAGTCTACAATGTGTCAATTGATACCGTTGCACAGAATTTTTTTTGCGTGATATATGTACAGTTTTGCGTTAACATGGCATCTGAAGCATACATGTTTTAGTTGCATTTAAAGAAGTTAAAAGAGGAAATTTTATTGTCATGTTTTATAAGTCTAGTGATGACTTGTTTAGAGCACTGTATATAGTTTGATCCAGTTATTGTAGGAATGATTTCATCATGTTAGCAAAAATGGAAACAAGGATAGTTTTTAACTTGTTTCCTGAAGAACGGATGTGGGGTACTTGATGCAGCTGTATAAATTATTATGAAGGGATATATGTAGTGTTCCTATAGGTTGTCTACATGCTAGAATGAAGAAACTAGAAATATGACCCTGTAATGGCATCAAACTTTAGAACCTAGATGCAGGCTTCTTGTGGAATGGTTAAGTTCATTATGTTGTTTGTATAAAGAATTTGATTTCTTTGAAAATTTAATTGGATAGGTATAGTGATATGAAGAACTGTTGTTAAGTTATATATATTTTTTAGTTTTTATGGGTAGCCTTCTTTCACTTTAACCATTATTATAAACACAACTTGTTAGTATTATAACAACATACTAAGGTGTTAAAAGATCTGTCCTGACCATTTCTGGAACCCACTATTGTTGGGTCATACTAATGATCTGACCATTTGAGCTGCCCAAGTTCAAGGCTCAAGCAGATGTGTCCCATCCTGATCATTACATATAAAACTTTTGAGATTATACAGTACATCTGTATATATATATATATATATATATTTATTTACAATTAATACCCTCTTGTGTTACACGGCTGCATATTATATGTTTAGTAAATATAAATACTGAATGTGTTAACTTAACACACTTACACAGATTTATCATACTAGCACATAATTTTTGGGGAAATCGATTACTTAAAAATAGAATAAGAAATAGATCTATAAGCAAATAAGATAGCTTTCTTATTTTTTAAGATATTTCTTTAGTTTTATAATCCATAGTTTATAAATACACAGTGCTTTGATTTCTTGGACTGAGCTGTATGATACACACAGAGAGAGAAAGTATAATTCTATTTCCTTAAACACCTTTTTTGATAACTAAAGATTTTATTTGTTTTTCTGGTACATTAATTGTGATACATTAAAGATGAGAAAATATTTTCAATTTTTCAGCTCAGAGAAAACAAGATGTTGAAGAAATTCGTAAACAGCATCCAAACAAAGTTCCTGTAAGTGTAGTGTTCATGTTCATATGTTTTATGAGATTTATTTATAATAAAAGTTTGGTGTGGTTAAACAGTTATCAGCTTTTCATATCTTGCACACAATTTTTTTCCATGATTTTGAAATAATGGCTACCTCATAAAATTCAGTTCGTTGTTTGCTTTATAATAGTAGTTTCTTCATCTTCCGGCTATCAAATTATCACTGACATTCAGGTTAGGCTTATCCATAACTAATGAACATTAAAACCTCTAACTCAAGTTAAATATTTTTTATTGTATACTAGTATTATATTCATCATCGGCTATCTAATTGCTACTGACATTCAAATTAGACTTATCCATAAATAACCATAACAAGAAAATTTATGGACAATAAGGGATCTCTTGGTCTATCTAAGCCAACCCATCCACTAAACTAAACTTTAAAAAAACAAACTTAAAGCCAGCTCTTATCATTCAAATAGTTATCAAGTTTTAAATTAAACTCCTTTAAATTTACTGAATCCACCACATATTGAGCCAACCCTGTTAGAAAACCAGAGCTATTTTAGCTTAAGATAACTTTCTAACCTGCCAAAATTTATATTTGTGTCCACTAGACCTACCATTCTCACCATTCAGTATGAAAAAATGTTGATTAATTCCTCAAAAATATTAAAACACCTCAATTAAATACCCTCTAACTCTTCCTTTTTCAATAGAAAGGTTCAGAGATGTGACAACTTTTCCATCCCATTTATCATCCTAGTAACCCTCGTCTGAACCCTTACCAACAGTTCTGTGTCCTTCCTACGGTAAGGAGCACAAGACTGAGCACACTTCTCCAAATGTATAATAATAACTTCTTTAAACTTGTACCCAATACTTCTGTAGATACTTACATCCTATTTACCCTACTATTAGAAACAGCACACTACTTGAATGGCTTAGGAGACTGATCAACCAGAAGACCAAGATCCTTTACTGCCATAGTATTTTTATGGTTATTCCAATCAAAATTATAATTGACATAACAATAACCCACATATATTACCTTGTATTTATTATAATTGAAAGCCATCTGTCACTTGTTCACCCAACTCAAAAAAATGATCGAAGTCCTTTTGTAAAGTAGCAGCATCCTCCTGACAGCCAGTCAATTCTTAATATAATCAGCAAATTTAAGTGATTTGTTGAATATTTTTTAATCTGTGTCATCAATGTAAATGAAAAAAAAGCAAGGGTCCTGATACTGAACCCTGACTTCACTTGTGACATCAATCCAGTTTGAATGAACTCCATTTGTAACAACTCTCCGTTTTCTTCCACCTGCCTAATTTTCTGTCCAACGTGTTAACTTATCCGCCACACCTATAGATATTTTTTTAACAGGCCTTTTATGTGGCATCCTGTCAGATGCTTAACATTACTTGATATTAAATGTTTTTTTCAAAAATCCTATTTATGATTTGTGGGTAACATGTTGTTATTAATTTAGCTTGATAATTTTTTTATCACAAACATTTTTTGAAGTAAAATCTGGTGCTAGAACTACTTAGCGCTATCCAAATTTTAATGAAAGATACGGTATTGAAAAGTTTTATTATTATTTCATTGATACTAGGTGATTATTGAAAGATTCTATGGAGAAAAGCAGCTACCAGTGTTGGATAGAACCAAATTTTTGGTTCCAGACCATGTGACTGTAGGTGAGCTGGTGAAGATTATAAGGTACGGTACTTTTAAAAACCGTTTGTGTTTGAAATAAATCCAGTAAATTTGTGTGCAGGCGTAAGATAGCTTGTGGTAAATTTCTTCCTTAGATATAAGAGCCAAAATATTGAATAGCTTTTATCTATTCTTTGAAATCATTCTAATATTTTTTTTTTACTAACACTTCAGTGTTTTTTAAGTGTAATGATAATTATTTCTTGGATTAAGTTACAGGTAGTAAGATTTTTCGAGAAAACAAAATAGCAGTGTTGCTTAGCTTTTGGTTTCGATAAACAATAGCAAAAACAAGGATCTTGGATAACACAATGTAGTGAATAATAAGATTGTAGCAGTTCTTTGTTGTTGTTTTTTTATGAGAAATAACATAATGGATCAAGGACTAAAAGTAAAAAAAAAACCAGGTTGTATGCAAAAAAATAACACAAGAAATATAGAAAAAGTTTATTTATTTTTGGTATTTAAAAAAAAATATATCCAAAATGAGAATACATATGCTTGGCATAAAACCAGAAGAAAAGTAGGGCTGTAGAATTTTTTTTTGTTCATGTCTGTAGTCTCTAATTGGAGAATTGCATTGACAAATTAGCTCGTTTTGGTGCATAATTAAATTTTGGGCTGGTTCTCAAAAAAAGTGTTGATTATCCACCAAAAAATTATATTAGGAATTTGATCTTTTCTAGTCCTTTTTCAATAACAAAAGATGATATATTTTGTATATCTGGCACAACAATTCCCTGAAGTACACACGAACGTTAAACAGAAAAAACAATAACGATGAACACTGACTTATTACATTCATTATGAAACCTCTGGCTTATATTTATATATCAGATGATAAGATACTATAATACTGAATATATATATATATATATATATGTATGTAAGGTATAACATATAACAATGGTAATACATCGATAAAATTAACCTCAAATCACGGAGCTACTTACCGCATGAGCTGACAGCTGAGCATATGCAAACACATCCACTAGTTTTGGTGTTGCTCACAGATGGCAGCACCACTGTGGTGCTGCCATGACTGTAAAGACGAGGATATTCCTACTTGTTGCAGTGGAAGGAAAGGTTTTTGGGAAGCCGTGGGGTAAATCTGCTTGTCGCATTGTAAGGGTTAAAAGAAATTGTTTAAAAATCTCGGGAGATAGAAAAGTATGGCATTAACTCAAATGCCTCATTATCTCGGTAATAATTTTTTATTATTATTACAGAAGCAAATTACTACTATAATCTAACAAAGTTTTTTTTATTCCTGCTTGTGAAACAGCACAGCCTCTTTAACAACTTTTTCGTAATGTTTATTTGTTCTAAAGGTTGTGTTAAGTAATAAGGGAAGTTTCAAATACACTTTAATCAAACTTTTTTTGTTTGATTTGAACCAACTCATCGTGGCCACTGTATCTTTATTTTATACATATAAAGTCTTGTTTTGTTCCCACCACAGACGCAGGTTACAGCTACATCCTAACCAAGCCTTTTTCCTGCTTGTGAACCAGCGCAGCATGGCTGCCGTATCTGTGCTTATGGGAGAGTTGTACGAGAAAGAAAAAGACGAGGATGGATTTTTGTACATGGTGTATGCATCACAGGAGGTGTTTGGGGATTGAAAAGACCAACATTGATTGACTTAAGTTTTAATTATTAAAATTTTTAAATTGATGAACCATTTTATGTAAAATTTTAGTTCTGAACTAAGCATGTTTAAACTTATCTTTTTGTATAAACTGCACCATCTTATAAGACTGAAAGTATTGTGGGTAAATTAAATTTGAAAATAAAAGAATAGCTTTAATTTTAAACAAATGAGAGGAAATGTATTTCAAAAGGTTTTTATTAAAGAGAAGACTTGCTTGATTTAACAAAATTTAGTAAATCTGTTATGTATTTTACAAGGAGGGGAATTTTTTAGTAAGCCTAAGTTATATTCGTACAGCTGAATGATTTATATAAAATATGGTAAAGAACAATTTTCCTTTGAGAAAATTAATCTTTAAACTTTTATGCTTCAGCAATTTCCTTGTTCTGTATAAAATTAAACGATGTTTGTTCATGTATATTGAATGTATCTGATTTAGCTATAGCGATAATTGAAATAAGTAACACATGTACTTGTACTTCAATAAATGTGACTTTTAACTATTTAACTTTCAATATTGTTAATTTTCATTTACAGGTATTGTCAGTAAGAATGATTAGTATTTACACAATTGTCATGACTTAATAGTCATTTGTATTATTATGTTTCATCTGTGTAGTTAATGGCACGGACTTAACGTAAGTGCTGGTTACGGAGTTGGAGGATGTGGGGAATCTTTTCATTTTGGTGGGTACTTGACACTTTTAAGTACTAGTTGCAAAGTAAGAGGATGTGGTTAAAGTTTATGCTTGAGAAACACGACTTGTGTCACAGGAACTTCACATATTAGTCACAGAGTTAGAGGTTATGGGAGAAAGTATAATTGTTTGATGTTAAGTTGTATAGTGTACAACAATGTGGTATGGAGAGATATTAATGTTGGTGACATATGGTTGTATAGTTTTTAATAATGATGAAGAGACACGAATGTTAATGATTCACAGTTGTGTAGTTTAGTAGTAGTTGTGCAGGGACATGAATGTAAAGGATGTTTGTGGATGTAGTAACAGTGTAGGGACATGAGTGTTAATGAATCGCAATTGTGTAGTTTAGTAGTAGTTGTGCAGGGACATGAATGTAAAGGATGTTTGTGGATGTAGTAACAGTGTAGGGACATGAGTGTTAATGAATTGCAATTGTGTAGTTTAGTAGTAGTTGTGCAGGGACATGAATGTAAAGGATGTTTGTAGATGTAGGGACATGAATGTTGATTCACAATTGTGTAGTTTAGTTGTAGTTGTGTAGGGACATGAATGTAAAGGATGTTTGTAGATGTAGGGACATGAATGTTGATTCACAATTGTGTAGTTTAGTAGTAGTTGTGCAGGGACATGAATGTAAAAGATGTTTGTAGATGTAGGGACATGAGTGTTAATGAATCACAATTGTGTAGTTTAGTAGTAGTTGTGCAGGGACATGAATGTAAAGGATGTAGTAACAGTGTAGGGACATGAGTGTTAATGAATCACAATTGTGTGGTTTGGTAGTAGTTGTGCAGGGACATGAATGTAAAGGATGTTTGTAGATGTAGGGACATGAGTGTTAATGATTCACAATTGTGTAGTTTAGTAGTAGTTGTGCAGGGACATGAATGTAAAGGATGTTTGTAGATGTAGGGACATGAGTGTTAATGAATCACAATTGTGTAGTTTAGTAGTAGTTGTGCAGGGACATGAATGTAAAGGATGTTTGTGGATGTAGGGACATGAGTGTTAATGATTCACAATTGTGTGGTTTAGTAGTAGTTGTGCAGGGACATGAATATAAAGGATGTTTGTAGATGTAGGGACATGAATGTAAAGGATGTAGTAACAGTGTAGGGACATGAGTGTTAATGATTCACAATTGTGTAGTTTAGTAGTAGTTGTGTAGGGACATGAATGTAAAGGATGTTTGTAGATGTAGGGACATGAGTGTTAATGATTCACAATTGTGTAGTTTAGTAGTAGTTGTGTAGGGACATGAATGTAAAGGATGTTTGTAGATGTAGGGACATGAGTGTTAATGATTCACAATTGTGTAGTTTAGAAGTAGTTGTCTTCATGAGAAAATGTTGATTTTGTATGTTTATTTTATTTTTTACAACAAAGATTTAAGTTTAGAAACAGGGGAATATAATAACCTCCATGCTTTTCCTTTGTACAGCTAAATATACTACACGAATAATCTGTTGGTTTATACGATTGCAGTTATGAATTAACTTGTTTTGTGTTTTTTTATGGAAAGGTATTGGAATGTATTAATAAATGTGTTAAAAGGTTTGAATGTTTATATTTTGATTATAATAGCAAAATTTAAAAGAGGTATAGGTATAATACAATCCTGCGTACAGTAATCTAAAATAAGGTATAGATCCACAATTATGGAACAACAACAAATTTTTGACACAGACTGATGAGGAAAAATGAAAGTGTCAAAACTTGTATCCGTATTAAATTTGGTGGTGTTCCATAATAGTGGATCTAAACGTTATTTTAATATAGTTGTAGCTCTAACCAAACTATACACTTTTCTTTTAAGCTAGAGTTTCTGAAACATGGTAGTTCTTTTAGTGGGTCCTTAATTTATCAACAAGTTTCTAAAATATATATACACCTACTGTAACTGTAGGTTAAATAAAGAAAAGATGTAAGTATATTTGTGCTCTTGGATTTTTACAGCGTTGTGTAAACCATTTTTTTTACATATCAAAAGATAGGTAGTTGTTATTTATCATTAAATAGGTTTTATCCTCAGGCCACGGATGATAAAGAAGCTGAAGTAGTAAACATTATTTTAATATTTATTTTCTGTGTGTGAGGCTTCAAATAATAAAGAATGTAGCATACTGAAGATAATAAGTTAAAGCTGATAATCCAATATTTCTTCATTTTGTTTTACAGTCAGTTAGCCTGAACTTCAGTATATTTTCAGAAACTTGAACCTTTAGCAGTCTCATCATAAGCAGATTATCCAATGCCCCATGTCCTAAAGGGGTCCAGGAAAAAAATCAGACTGTTTTTTATTCACGTTCCTTCATCGGGGGGGGGGGGTCTTTATTTTAAGCCTTCACCAATAAATATTTCCAATAATTTTATATTTTAACTAGGTTTGGCAACAGTCAATCTATAGACATTAAAATATTATAATATTTTTAGTTTTTACATTTTGATTTAACTTTTGTTGCTTGATTAAATTATTTTACAAAAAGATCATATCCTTGTTTTTAGTGAAAAATTTAATTAAGACCTCTATTCTAGAATGTACAGGTTAAGTGGGATATATTTTGTTTTTTGGCTAATTACCATTTGTTTCATTGTTTTTCACATAGGTAAGTTTTGTTATTAATTTGATTCTTGATACAGATCCTAATTTAAAGGCCCATGTTTGGTTTATCCAGCACTGGTATGCATGTGAACAGATCGTGGAAGAGTTCAATTGAATCGGCTTCTGCAAGATAATGCCGTTTAAACAGTTTAGAGAAAACGTCCTAATGGGAAAGTTTTGGTTCTAGGGTACTTTCCTTGGAATACTGCTCACTGTATTAGTCCTGGTGTGTAACTTAGAAATGTTCTGAAGCAGAAAGTAAGTCAGCTCCAAAAGAATAAGACCAGCTCAAGCAGTACTTTTACTGTTCTACACAGCATATTTGTCTGTCTCGTGTCCGATATCATTGTGAGGAACAAACAGAACCAATTTTGATGAATTCCTCCAAAGGTCATGATTCAAGATTAAAAACTATTTCAATTTGACCACCTTAATGCCACGAATAAGGGTTCAACTGAGTGATGAGAAGCTTGATATTAAAATACATGAAGCTAATACCAAACTTCATTCTGCACATAGCATGGGTACTTTTACATTACACAAACAGCATATGTTTTTTTAAACCTGATATTTTCAGGTACCTTTGCTAGTAACACTGAGATAGTGGTCTTTTGAAATGCTTGTAGTAGACAAATGAATAACTCATTTCAGTGACGAAAATTACCAGTAATCATTCTGTCTGTAGCTTGGTGTTGTTGTGGCTAGATGTTCCAAATGTTCACTAGGATCTGATGTAATCTTGTTTTCTATTGGCCAGGAATGTTAATGTTCTTGTAAATCCTTTAGTTCCAGAGATGGTTGCAAGTATGAAAGGTGTTGTTTTACATGTCCATGTACCACCTCTAGCTATAGAAGGTACGTGTAGAGATTTTAGTAATTTTTTGTAGATTGTGCTAACTGAACTAGACATTAGCATTGATATTTTCAATAGTTTAAACTGTCAAGACTTGTTAGTTGATCTTACAATCAATCCCAGTCTAGGCATTGGATTTATAGACCCTTGGCACCCCCGATTAAAGGCCACTTGTGTTCTTTTTTTAAAGTAATATTGTGATTCACAGCAGAAGTAACTACCTGTACATGTGAGGTGAAGAAGGATTATTAACTGTTCAGTCACCTTTGGCTCCCCAAATACTTGCCAAGTATGACTGATTCTATAAGTGGGATGTGCTGTCAAAGATTTTCTTTGAACTGCCATAGTAGAATTAATTTTAAAATTCACTGTTGCAAATTTTACGGTGGTAACCGTACGATTCAATTCTCCTTCTTTGACGGTTTTAAATGTTACAATATTTTCATTAACAGCTTTAAGCCTGACATCGTTTAGTTTTAAAAAACTTTGAGAATCAAAGTAGCACTGAAGTCTTACTCATTATTCAACTCTTGTTCATGTTTTCTCGATATTTTGATGAAGCTTGTACTCTTCTAATGTGTTTATACATTAGTGGTTGTTATTAATTTTTCTTGTTCCAGGACATTTGAGGTCATTTTCTAGGTTGAAAAATATAATTTTTATTGTTTAGCTCTTGGTACCATATTTTGTAATACTACTTTTATTGACTTACGCACCAAGTTAAAACTGTTAATTCCATTCTTTCTTTTTTTTTCTGAGCAATAGAAATGTTTTAATGAGAAAATAAAGGTTAAAATAGCATACATTTTCTTTTATTATAGGTTCTGAATTAAAAACAAGATATTTAACTTTCTATTTCATGTAGTAGATGTTATGATTCAACAGATAACACCATCACAATTCTTTGGTCCTTCTTGAATTACGATATGGACCTAAAAGCCGGGCTATTGGGGCTGTAGCTTCAGACCCAGGCTCAAATGAGGTTGTGGTTGTTTTTTTTTATCCGTCTTTAGTTGCGATCATAATAGGCCTGTTAAGAAAAAAACTGACCCTTGCTAAATATGATCATCTTGCAGAACGCTAGTATTTGTAATAACTGAAAGTTGAAACGGTAACTCACTAGATTGGAAGAACACATTTTTCTCATTGGTTATCAAATACATTTTTTCTACCCAATTGGTAAAAATTCTAATGAAATGTTTTTATAGCTTAGCCTCCTCTCTTTTTTTGGTTATTTGTCTATAAACATTCAATTGAAATTGATTGAAAATTTTAGGCCTAATACTTTGATTTAAATTTTGACCAATCAAAGACACCATGATTACAACCATAAGCTAAACTTATATAACATACAGTTAAAATGTTATAAAATATGTTCTACAAAAATATAAATGTTATTACGAAATTAAAAAAAAAAAATGCCATAAATGAGAGGTTCCTTAAAGAGTTACAGTTTATAAGAAACAAAGGATGCATTCATTGTCACCATCTGTTGCAGTAATCGAACTAATGCACAAGTCACATTTTTTCTGTCAAGAAAGCATGTTGCAATTGCTCGAATAGTTATCTGTCTTAGCAGTGGTGTTATAGCGGTGCTAGTTCATAAGTAGGGACGTTCAGCTTCTAGCCAGAAAGTCTTGGAGGCAGAAGTAATATAAACAAAACTGAGTAGTTATTGTATCACATCCAAGAATGAATGTACAGGTTTTTAGTTGAGGATTGTTGCTAACAAAGGCAGCTCAATCTAAGGATTTGAGGGCATG